ATTCCATTCCGTGGAATTGGGGTTTCCGACAACTCCATTCCTTTCAACTTCTCGGAATGGAGACACTGGCCTCATTCCCACTCCTGGAATGGCTGAACTCCACCATTCCAATCCTCGAATTTCAAAACGTGAAAAAAATGGTCATTAGCAACCACATTGTGCTACTGAAAAAAAAAAAAAAAAAAAAAAAAAGAAGCATAAAGTCGCTAACGTTATCAAACAACGCGCAGACGACTGCAAAGGTATGCAAGAGCATCTTCAAAGCACTCATTGTGCTAAGGCCAAGGGTGGTGGCACAAAGTGCTTCGTTGCAACCTCTTGTCACTGGAGACATCGATCGCGCGATCAAGCGTAAAAAGCTTTCGAGTCCCAAAAGACGGCACAAATTAAAAGCAACCGTTGCAATTTTCGTTTGAGGGTGAACATACTTTATTCTGATACGAACCAGATAAAGAAAAACAGCGTTACGCCTTGCTTCATTAGTTTTATGGTCTCGGTCACGGTGTGTAAGATACACTCTTTAGGTGAGGACACGGCGGGGCTGAACGCGCGGCACGAGGAATCAGCGTTCGTTCGACGGGCATCCGAAAGACTGCATCATTCGGCTGCCACCGCATGGATGGATGGATGTTACTGGCTATACCCTTTGTAGCGGGTGGTAGCTTGCGCCACCTATCCTAAGTCTAAGAAAGACAAACATTTGATTTGATTTCCCGCGCCCTTCTAAGCCAATTTTCTACCCCCTAACTATCACCAGGTAGTGTGGGATATCACCAGGATGACCTTTGGGGGATCGGGCAAAAAAACTAAAAACATCACCCCCCGCCTCTTCCCCCCGGCGAGGGAGTCGCCAATTTTCCTCTGGTCAGACCTTGTCGGCGTTACCCCCGCACCGGACCCACTGAGAGACAGGGTTGAGACTTTGGGCCGGAGCCACGCGGGAGGGAGTCCCAATTTTCCTCTGTCCCGCCTGTCCCCAGCTGTGCTAGTTAGTTCTGCATCATTCAATTTTCCCTAGATAATTTCCACCAATCTTCTAATCGCCTCTTTGTGACTGCAATCCTCTTCTCCTCCGTCCCTCCATCGTCGCCAGCAAACCCCAGGGCCCCGGCCAGATCTGTTACCCCTTCAGGGAGTGCAGGACGAAGCCCCGTGCACTTTAATACCAAGTGCTCAAGTGTCTCACTCTCATTATGGCAAGCAGCACATAATGTGTCTATCTCCTGAAATTTAGCCCTATACGTCCTCGTCCTCAAAGCCCCCGTTCTCGCCTCGAACAGCAAAGAACTTCCTATTGAGTTGTCAAACACATTTTCCTTTCTTATGTCCTGCTTTCGTGACCTGTACACTGTTAGAGCTGATTTATCCTGCATTCTTTCTTCCCACATTTTCCTCTCTGCCTCTTTCACCCCTTTCTTTACTGAAGTAGTCTGTTCAGCCCCATCACCAGTGTGTAGGTATTTAAACGTAAGCTTTCGGGTTCGGTTTGTCCATTTTGTGTTTAAACTTTTCATGTACAAATATTTGAATACTTTCCGTGCCCACCGCGTATCATCCATTTCGGTCAACCTTTGTTCAAATTTCAACTTACTAACTGCCTCCCTGCTCTCAAAAGACGACCATCCCATGTCCCCCTGTACTCCCTCATTTGGTGTTTTTCCATGTGCTCCCAGTGCCAGCCTGCCTACGCTTCTTTGTCGAATTTCTAATCCTGATTGAACCTCTGATTTCATGCACAGCACTGCATTGCCAAAAGACAGCCCTGGCACCATCACTCCTTTCCATATACCTCTGACCACTTCATATCTATTATAGTTCCATAGCGCCTTGAGCTTCATAATTGATGAATTTCTTTTCCCTTTTCTAATTATATTCTCCTCATGTTCCTCTAGATATTTCGCTCCCTCATTGAGCCAGACTCCCAGATATTTGTATTTTCCTACTTGGTCTATTTCAATGTCCTGTATCCTCAGGGGTTCCCTCTTTTTGTCGTTAAACACCATTACTCCAGACTTTTCTCTACTAAAAGTCATGCCCATTGTGTCCCCTTCCTCTACACATATTCTAGCTAGTTCCTGTAACGTATCCTGGTTATCTGCCATAAGTACTATGTCATCGGCATACATCAGTCCTGGTATTACCTGTACTACATTTCTCCCTCCTTCCATATAACTCACATCAAAACCTAAGTTGCTCTGCTCTAATTTCTTTTCCATTTCCCTGAGATATATCATGAAAAGCAGATGTGACAGTGGACAGCCCTGCCTGAGCCCTCGTTTTATCGCTGCGGGTTGTGTAGTTTCTGCCTCCCATGCTATAATTACCTTATTGTCTGTATACACCTGCTGAAGAAACCCAACCAAATATGCATCTAAGTTATATTCCCTTAGCTGACTCCAGAGTTTTTCCTGGCTCACATTATCGTACGCTCCCTTGATGTCTAAATAAGCCAACCACAAAGGAGTCTGGTTCTTCATTGCTATTTCTATACATTGTGTGGTGACGAATAAGTTATCTTCCAGTCTTCTATCTCTTCGGAATCCATTTTGGAGCTCACCCAGTATTTGATTTTCTTCTACCCATTCCTCCATTCTCCGCTTTACTATCTGCATAACTACTCTGTATAGAACTGAAGTTACCGTTATTGGGCGATACGACTTAATGTTGTCTTTGTTTCCTCGGCCTTTATATATTAGTCTCATTTTACTCAGTTTCCAATCCCTAGGCACCTCTCCTCCCATAATTATTTGATTTATTGTATGTAGTAACTTCAGTTTGCTTGTTTTTCCTAGTGTCCTAATGAGTTCCATGGGTATGTCATCTGGGCCTGTCGCTGTACCTGCTGGAACCTTACTTTCTGCCTTATCCCATTCCCTTGCGGTCGTCTCCATTGTTACATAATTCTGCTCCTCCTCTATGCTGCTGCTGTCAGAGTTATCCACTATCGCCCTCTGCTCAAGCTGGGAGAAAGCCCCTTCGATTGTCTGCCTAATATATTCCCGTGCCTCTTCCCCCTCCACCGTGCCCGTGGCTGACAGTGTTGCCGGCGGCCAAACGGCGATACTGGCTGAGAGTGAAAAAAATCATCTCGTTGCTATTACACCCCGGTACACCGTAGTCTTTCTGCACGAGCGACAACCTCGCTGGAGCTCTGCGCGTGTGGTACATGAGGTGGCACGAGCCGTCTTGTGCACTGCTGCCTCATGTATACCACACGCGTTGTACCTAGGGTGCCTTCATGTGCGCTTTGCTTAGGGTGGAGACATCTGGCCATTTTGTCTCACACTTTTATTTTTACTTTTTGTTCAGAAGCGCGTGAAAGAACGTGTCCCTGCACGCGCTCGTGGCGCTGACTGTGCTCCGGCGACATTTTGTTTTCGTCGATTTCTTTGTATTTTACCCGTGAGCGCGTGCTGTCGGCATCGGGTACTACAAAGGGTGGCATCACCCTAAACAGAAGGACATTGAGGCACACTAGTTGTACCACACGTGTTGGAAGCTGCCCAGTTTGACTTTGACCCGTTCCCGACCTGCGGCGACCACGAGATCGTCACGGACGAACTCGGCGTGGTCCGCGACGATCTCGCACGGGCGTGCAATTTGAATGGTCAAAGGACAAGGAGACGATAGCAAGAATTTGCGTGAGTCCCTAGACGTCCCTAGACTGATAGAATTCAACTGCATTTGATGATCAACGGGTTTATGGGCGCCATGGTGTGACTAGAACGGTGTTGCCTGGTCGTCAGACGAAAACGATCGACATTCGTAAATTGAATGTTGCAATTAGTAGGGCTCTAAAAATCGCGGAACTTAGTGCATATAGTAATTAGCGTGCGAGCATTCCATTTCAAGAATAATATACAGGTCTGTTTAATTGTAATGTCCTAAACCATTTAAGACGCAAACACAGCTTATGACTGCATTCGCATTCTAATTATCTAGCGATGTCATCTCAGTGATATCAATTCGAGCTCCTTCCTTCGGCATTTTCAACGAACAACGCGCTTCTCACGCGCTCAAAGTCTTTCTAAAAATTGCTGATTTAGGGGTTTCGGACGACGCTTAGCAAATTTCCAATTACAACCATGAGACTCTTTTCACTAATTAAAAAGTTAATTAACAAATTTTACTTAATTATCCGACTTATCGCAAGAATTAGCCACACACTAATGTCCCCCTGGCCGCACAACTCACTCGCACAAACCGCGTAAGTGTAGCTTTCATGACTTTATACAGCGGAGCTGTTAAGGGCTAGTTTCCCCATGACCGTGTTCCCCGAAAACAAAAATGAAGACACCGAACTCTGGTCACCTACCGCCATTTATGAGTGACGGCGGCAAGTCAGGTATCTGGTTGCCGCCGTCGCTCATAGATGGCGACAGCCTTTCCACTCTGGCTTGCCGACTTACGGCCGGCCATTACTTACCATTGTGCAGCTCCACTGGTCTTCCTTCATCACCAGAGTGGAAAGGCTGAAAGGTGTTTTTAAAGAAATCTGTAAAAAAAAAAAAAAAAAATATATATATATATATATATATATATATATATATATATATATATATATATATATAACGGGCATGGTGGCGGGAGGCCGAAGGCGTGGGTATAAAACTGAGAAGAAAAAGACCCTTAGTGAAAAACAGCAACAACGGACGATTTAATCTTCGACGTTTCGGCCGGAGTCCGGCCTTCGTCAGGAAGACTGACGAAGGCCGGACTCCGGCCGAAACGTCGAAGATTAAATCGTCCGTTGTTGCTGTTTTTCACTAAGGGTTTTTTTCTTCTCAGTTATATATATATATATATATATATATATATATATATATTATATATATATATTCTATCTTCTTCCTTCAAATATAGTCGTGCGTTAGAGCCCGTGTTTGTCTTCTCTCTAGTGTTCGTTTTTTTTTTTTAATTTTGGTTTAAAACAGCAGAATTGTTGCCGAAAGAAAAGCTTTTTCAAAGAAGTCAGTGTGGCAACATTTTCAAGTGAACTGCCGTGTACTTTATTTTGATGGCAAGTTAATGTTGCCGATAACCCTGAAGCGAAGAGGGTCAAGGGACATCATCGTGGCAGGCGCTCGCTCAGGTCGGCGAACACGAACGCAACGGCCGCCCAAAAGGCTGTACACAGGTCCAGGTTGACCGGGTCCTCGACCGTCATGGTGTCTCCGTCCGTGTGGTGGAAGTAGAAGTACTTCTCGTTGGCCGTGTCCAGCGTGGCCCCGGGCACCCCGCGCTCCACCCACTGCTTGGTGTCCGGGCCGTCATCGCCCAGCCTGAGCCTGGTGGCATTCAGGGCAGCCATCAGCCCCAGCACGTGCTCGGCCATGCAGCGCGCCGTCGGGTTGGCGCTGGCCAGCATCAGGCCCAGGGGTTTGAAGGTGCCCATGTCCGACTCCATGACCACGTTCATGTTGGGAGCCTCGCTCTGGTGGCGCTTGTAGTAGGCCCGTCCGCCCCAGATGCCCTCTTCCTCGCCCGTCCAGAGAACGCAGCGCAGCGTCCTCCTCGGCCGGAGGCCCAGAGAGCGGAGCACGGCCAGGGCCCGCCACGCGATGAAGGCGCCTCCGCCGTCGTCCATGGCGCCCTGGCCGACGTCCCACGAGTCCAGGTGACCGCTCACCAGGACCACCTGCGCCCCGGGCGACGCTGCAGCCAAACCACGTCCGCCACACACTCCCCACCCTGTGGCCTTCAGAAAAGCCCGTTGGGCGCAGAAGGCGGTGTTGCCAACCTCCGCAATCGTTTCTTCCCCAAATTTGATCGGCAAATTACCTAGATTTCCCTAGATATTCAGAAAGTGTGTTAATTTGCGTTAATATTGAGATTATCGTTACGGAGTAGCTTAAGCATAGATTCCTGTAGTTGGGTGGCCATTTAAAGGTTAAATTTGCGTCGTTATAATCTTTTTAAAATTATTTAACTTTGATACTTTGGCCTTCTTAGCCCCCAAAATCGCTGTTGTTACCAGCGGAGATTATCTCCGGCCCCGACAATATGCAAAGAAGCCTTTTTCCCGCTGCACTCGGCCAGCACGAGGAAAAGAAAGGGAAGGAACGTGTCTCTAAAGCCCTCTGAAACCCATCAAAACAATCCCTAGATTTGAACAAAGTTCCCTTTGCCCCTAAACGATAACGGAAATCTTTAGATCTAGGGGAAAGTCCCTAAGGTTGGCAGCATTGCAAGATGCCAGTCCCGATTAGACAAAACGTTCTCTTGTTTGTTTTGAGCGGATCGCTGATTAGGCCTCTGCACAGTGTCGAAGAAATTTCGTCCACTTATTATTGTCAATAAAATTACATACACCTGTGTCTTCTACGGGAATACCATTTCCTCTAGGCGATGTTCGTTCTTTGTAAATGTTCTTCTGGCGCGCATTTTCAGTCCGTGACCACACTATACATCGTTTCAGCTTCCGTCCGAGCGCAGCCAAAGCTACGTGTGGCCGGAGCCAATCACAGGCCCGCAATAGGTCACGCGATCTCGCCTGCACTTTTGTATCGCTCCGCTGCGCCGCTGGTCGTCCGCGCCGCTAGCGCTCGCCGAGTCTTTCGTCTGCTACGGGTGTATCAAGGGTATCGTCTGCTACAGGTTTAAAAAGTGCCTTTTCACGTTCTGAAATTTAGTCACAGGGGATGTCAGTACGTAGGCTGGCCGCTGGCGTCTCTGGCCGAGCTTTCCACCTCTTCGGCATATAGTTTCGAGATGTAAGTACACAGTGCAAGGTGCCCGATGACCCGGCCGCTGATGTTTAGTTCTATTGTTTGGATATATCAGGGCTTGAGGCAAGGTCCTTTCCACCAACTTCTCGGCGTTGAATGTGATCGGCAGGTGAAGGGGTGTCCTGATTTCGCCGCGTATCATTGAATTGTAGTCGGTCGGACGTTTTTCTTGTTTACAACGCATTTGCGGTACGACGCGGCCGGAGTCTCCTGCCGAATTTGAAAGTAGACATTCCATCACGACCTCTACGCCTGACGCCCAAACGTGCCTTTGCGAAAGGACGTTTTGAAGCGACTCGGTGTGGAAAGCAGCGAAGCAGATGATTCGACCATTTCGGGAACGAAATCACTCGGAGAAACCGAGTGCTGCAGCCGTGTTGCCAGCGGACGTACATGTTTTCACCGAACCATATGCATTTACGTATAATAATAAAAACAAACTTCAGATATTTAATTCCTTTAGTTGCAAATCATTCTTATCAGTACACATCTAGAATATTGTGCAATGTTTACGCACAAAACAGTTATTTAAAAAAAAAATTACTTTTGCGGACTACTTTGTGCTGCGTAGGAATGCTGTTCTCAGAGTTGCGAACCGTCCCTCAGCCTTTGGCTGCGCTCGGACGGAAGCTGAAACGAAGTATAGCGATAGTCGAAACCCCTTCTTTGAAACAATAGTCGGTAACAGGTCAAAAAAAAGTGGAAGCTCCGCCCACCTCTTTCCCCTTTAGCAGAACGAACGCAGTATCCGGACGACGTTGAACCATATGGACCTTTGTTAGAGGACCCGTGGATAGACGCTGCTGAAGACTTCGAAATGGTCGGTGTCCTAAATTTCCACCGCAAATGTCTTCTTTAAAAAGAGTTAAGATGTAAGGCGCTTGATTGTTTATAAAAAAGGGGGTTCGTATGACAAAGGCAGTTCCGCACAACCGGTCGACACCTGTGCCGATATTCCTTCAAAAATATTCATCTTTCCCTTAACTCATGGAGCCTCTACTTAGGGATGTGTTTATGGGCTGAATTTCTTGCGAATAGGGCTGGGGTGTGACGAAAGAGCACTACACGCATGCTATAGGGCAACATAAAGCGCAGCCCATATCAGGCATACTGAAGCATTTAGAAGGCATTCTTCATCACACTTAATCCTACGTAATCATAATTATCCCTTATTGCAGCGAGCGAGATTAACCAAGCGGCTCACCGGGAATCAAACCACGGACTGTTCGCAGCCCGACAACTCTGCTTTGCGTCAGGAGGAGGAAGTGAGCGCTTGTCTTGAAGGTCCTTCAAGCCACAACAAATTTGTTGCGGTGTAATTTGAAGGAAAAATTGAGCGTTTTCATTTCATCTCTTCTTCGCGAAACTTGATGACGTAACTGGGGGATCGCAATACCCCCTCCACTGACGATATTTGAATGCGGCTCATGGATTGGACCCGAGCATTGCGTGCCCACTCGATTTGGGACTCGTGATAATGGACAGCTCGAGAGGCGTTCGGGTAGAGGTCCGTGTCCGATCCATGCAATGACGACAAGAGCCGAACCATAAAAGCCCTGTTTCTACTCCGTCGTAACGCCAAAGAGCGCACGCGCTCGTTCACGCTCGCTGACGCTGTCTGCGAACGGGCTGTCTATACACTCCAACGTCAAGTTGAACGCGGCTCGGCGCAGCGCAGCGCAGCTCGACGCGCGAAAGCGTACCCATGCGACGGACTTGGACATGGTCTATACCCCTTACGAAAACGGGTCTCAACATTCTTTTTAATTGTTTTAGACTTCTTACTGGCTTTCCGGGGTCTTACTGAATTCCTTTATAAACGCACTTTGTTTTCATTAGAAAAAGTAAGGAACTTTTTTGTAGACTTATTTATAAAAAAAATATAAAAGAAGTTTTAATGACGTTTTTCTGTAGGTTATTTCGTAAAAAATTCTAAAGGAAAAAAATAAGGTTTTTTTCTTGTAGACTCATAAAAAATTAAAAAAGAAGTTGTAATGACGTTGCTTTGTAGATTATTTTCTGAAAAATAAATAATACAGATAACTTATTGACATTGTTGTTTTATATTATTTCATAAAAAGTGCAAAAAAAATTTTGTTGTTATTTTATTAGAAACATTAAAGGCATTTTTTTAATTTGAAAATTTTTTTGAAAATATTGAAAGAGAAAAGACATTTTCTACGGATGTTTTCTTGCTGACATATTCGTAAGAGTTCTAAAAACGATAGTAGGTTGCTTTGCACTTTTTTTCTTTTAATTTAGGATACTTTTTTTTTTAATCAGAGGACAAAGGCAACTGAGCTCTTTCATTCCCTTTCCTGTTTCTATTTAATAAAACATTCTGATAACACGTCCGACGTAACAAAAAATAAAATTAAAGTTACGTAACGTAAAAGTTCGCTGTGCCTAGCGTTACGTCCGGCCGGACCGCTGAAACGCTTTAACCTAACCCCCCTCCCCCTCTCTTTCTCGCCCGTAAAGGCTGAAAAGTGATTACATTTCTTCTATGAGCTGTTTTTGTGGACGTTGTTTTAGCAACTGCGCCGAATTATTATTTGCTGCACCAATGCCATTTAGTGAGGGATAGAGTCCACGAACTTCGAAACACTGTTTTCCCGTTGACAGACTCCCTACAAGGAGATCGGACACTTGGAACCTTAATAAGTGCAGAGGTGGTCACCGGCCAAATGATTACCTTCAATATGTATGCTATACATAGAAGGCTCTGGCGCAGTTAACAGAACTGTGATTCTGGTGTTTGGGTTTGCGTTCTTTCCTAATGTGTATTTGTGTGATGTGTATGTACCACAGGACACTATATCCTAACAAAATCCAAAATATATATGTTAAAAAAAAAACTTCGAGTGTCTTTTTTTAATGTTAATCTGCGGTTCCGTCAAAAAGGGTTAGACAAAATGTATATAAGACAGAATTCTAAAAAAAATTAAGTGGCAATTTTAACTAGGAGTTAAGCAAGTTGTCAAAATAATCTTTAAAAAACCTAAAAAAGTTTCTAAAAATTTTAATACGATTCCAAACATTTTTTAAAAGAAATTCAAAAGAATTTAGCTACATATTTTTGTAAGGGTTAGACCGCCATATTTGCCCGATAGTGGCATCCCCTATTAGCCCCGATTAGTTCGCGTGGCGCCCCCTTACGACGAACCGGGGTGACGTCACGGCGAGGAGAGAATTTTTCCCCGACTCGCCCCGCTCGCCCTGTGGAGGCTGTGACGACGCTAGCTGTCGGCGCGCTCGTTTCTATTAATTTTTTTTTTGCGTGTTTTTCGTAGGAAGTGTAAATTTTTATATGTGCCTTTATTGAGGTATGGCCTGTAGCTACAGGCGAAACTTCAACCAACATTTTAAGCATGGCTGACAGGGCAGGCAACGCATAAATCGCAGCTGATATATGAAAATAAAGAAATATGGCCACAATTGCAGGAGCATCACTAGAGATTTACATCTCGCACAGTAAATGCTGCTGATGGTCTGAATGAATTGACAGGTTACGTATACTATTTTTTTTTGTATCTCTGTTTTTAATCAAGATCGCCGAAGCAGAAAAGCTGCATGCTGCTCGAGCAGCATGCTAAATACAGTCTTGGCCATGGGGAGAGAATCACAAGTGAGACAGCCCAAGTGCAGGGACAAAGTAAACAAACAAGGAACATTTATCATATACATTGCTCGCATTTGATCCATTGCTGGATTCGGATAGTATTTCAATGGACTACACGGGTGGTATCTGTGAACTTGTTTATATCAACCCTCACGTAATTTATAACAAACGTAAGCGAAGGTGTCTACCTCGTTATTAGTCCCTTAAGCCCTAAAATTGTTATTTTACTCAATCGAATTGTCCTGAAGCTAAAATACCGGAAGCTTTTCTCACGGAGACTGTCGCGCTTCACGGGTTCCACATTTTCTGCTACTAGTACTGCATCTATCTACCACTGGATAGACGTTCGAACGTTTGCTTTTACTCCTGTTTTCCTCTGTTGTCAGACTCCAGCTGTAGGGAGTTCGGAGACTGAGGAAGCTTTTGGGGACCTACAGCAGTGTCTCTTTTAATTGGAAATGGCAATTCAGACTAAACGGTGTATATTCCGGATACCCAAGGCTCGAATAAAGAATGTCAGAAAAAAGTATAAACATTCCAAATTACGGCACTATTGCTGTGCATATTTTGGGTAGTTCAACACATATCATGCAGGCAACTGGGGCCGATTCGGCCGTTTTTGCTGCTACCATACAAACTAATTTCCAGTAGTGTTGCTTCTTCTAAGAAATATGCCTGCATACGTGTATAAACTATATAATTAATTCACGAAGAAGCTATATTTATATAAAACAACCCTGTTTCATGAGCAGTTCAAAGATCATCAGACGCAGGGCCTTTAAAACATCTGCGAACCAGCGCATGCAGAGTGGCAGCGCAAAGTCGGGGTCGCGAGCTAATTAGCTGACCACCCAAAAGCCCATGATATAAATACCACTTCAGATACCTTGAAAGCGGAATGTAATATCGTCCTAAATCATGAACGTGCAAGGAACAGAATTTCAGCGTCTGAAACACCTGCGCCACCGCTTCACCGACCACTCGCAAGATTGCCTTGGGTCGTGTGGACGGACGGAGAGGTTCATCGGCGGAATTGCCTCCGCCGATAGCTTTCGGGAATTGTAACCCATATTTAAAGGTAAAAGGGACAAGCAGGCTTATGAAATGTACGGAAGCACGTCAATATCGGCCTTACTTAACGTCTTGTACACCGGGTAAACGAGGTCCAGCTCCTCGAAGAGCTTGCGGCACACAACGCCAAACCAGGAAACCGGTGCTGGGAAGCGAGCCGATGAGAGATCGCGGAGCGGAGTCCTCCCGCTGACGTCACGGTACACCTCACCTAATCAGGGCGCGGCGACCGCAGCGACGCTTGAGTTCGCTCTTGGGGCTAATAGGTCACCAATACAGTGTGAAGTCTTGAGCGCCGGGGTGTTGTAATGGCCTTATTTTGGTTGAGTTGCCTGTACGCTGTCTTCTCCTATGAGCCTCATATTTCCGCACTGTACGTGTTTTTGCGGATCATTGAGCGCAATTCCCTTATTACATCCTCGACAAAAACAGCGAAGCAAGCTATCACCTAAATAAAACATCCGAGGTCAGCTGTGTTTACATGGGCAAAGGAGATTGGGTCTTTTGTGGAGTCCTCCCACGACGGGAAAAGGATTGTGATTGATCCAGCTCTAAGACCAAAAGAGAATGTGAAAAGCCCAATCTCATTAATCGCTTCGAGACGTCTATGCCGGCCCTTAGCGAAAACTAATACGTTTGAAATATACCTCATTCTAATTCGAGTGTATTTGAAATACAGTTTATAATTGTAAGTACACGAAAAATAGACCGAAAATATAAACTTTTCTTTTACTTAGTACTAAAATATACTTCTAAAAATTTTTTTTTTTTTAAATTCCTACATTTGAAGTTCCCTTCATGCGTTCTGAAATATGTAAATACTAAATTAGTAGGCACAAAATACCTTTTACATAGATTTCTTGAAATATTTATTTCGTTCATGCAAAATATACTCCAACCCTAATAAAAATGGAGCGATCAAAAATATGTGCAGATTACTCTTAAAATACCTGAAAATCGTAAATACTGTTGTGTTATACTCTAAGTACCTTTTAACTGCAATACTTCCGTAGTTGGACTTAAACTACCAAAGTATTGAAAAGCTCGCCTATCAGAAGTACACTTCAAGCAGATGTGGGGTACACTGAAGCGCCTAAATACAACATTTCATTAGTTTGTCAATTGGCTTGTGCAGCATCGCACTGATAAACCAGCCCAGTTTATGTTATTGTTTCCTTTTTTTTCTATCAAGAACACACTCGAGTTTCTTGCACACCAATCACAAACGGGGTTGTAGAAGTGTAGAAGTGGATAAGAGCAACATTTCATTTCTATTGGCTGCCCCCAGATGCATGGCCCCACAGTAGACCTGGACTAACTATACTGCAAGAAACGGGACCATCAGTACCTACCTCGTCTGGAACAGTCGAACCCCGCAGTTCGGCGACGGTATTGCGAGACGTCGTGTGGGGCAGGTTCTTCGCATCCATGACCAACTGAATCTTCATCTCTACCCCTGCGATGAAGAAGATGCATGATTAATCAGCCATCTCGGCCATCTCCCGATGATGAGAAGCGCGTGAGTGAAAAATGAAAAACGTTTCTACAACTCCCTGTAATGCCGAATTAGAGCGCAGCTCTTGAGGAGGAAGAGAAGGGGAGGGTACGGAGGAGACGGAATGCCCCTCATCCGTACCCTCTCCTACTCCCTCCTCATCTACTCCTCCAGTTCTCCTCCCTCCTCCCCCTCCTCCTCCCTCCAGCGCGGTGCATTATGGGAAACGTCCCATAACGCAACGCGCGCGTCACCGTGGTTCATTGTGGGACGTATCCCATAATGCACCGCGCGGTTACGCCGACGGCCACGCCGACGCCAAGCCGGAAACGGGCGCCTAAGAACTGCGCTCTAAAACTACGAGTTACTTCGCGCAAGTGAAAAGTAACACGGAGCGTAAAGCGGGAAACACATGTACGACGAAACCTTCCGATCCGACGTGCGGACTGCCGGAATGACCTTGGGGGGGGGGGGGGGGGGGGGGGGGGGGGCGAGGGGCGAGGGTTTTCGTAGCATCGGAGAGCGTTGAAAACCCTCGCCTCCGACCGTCGTATTGCGCGGTCGGACGTCGGATCGGACGGTTTCGTCGTACATGTGTTTCGCGCCTAAAGCAATTACGACGCCCCCTGCAGCCTCTTCGAGATCCTATCCCCGTGTACTCATGCGAGCGCTATGTAAAACAGAGATCTCATTGCGGTTATTCTACGGACTGAGGTGCCGGAACCACACACTAAAAAGAAGGGTGTCACTTTACACCCTTTTGTCCCATATAATGCACCCTAAAACTTCAATTCGACGTACAGCGCACTATAGTGAAGCAGACGGACATATATTTTTCGAGGGGATTGATTAAGGTGGCGATATAACTTAATAAATAGCTAAAATATGTATCAAAGACCACAGAAAGAAAACTCGGAGGCTTTGCAGCAGGGCCAAGAAAACCCCAATTATTTTTTTTTTTGTAGTCAGTAACACGTACACTAGCTATTTTAATAAGTTGTAGCATACGGCTATCAAGCCTCTCGTGAAAGGCAATACCGTCAGATCGACGTCAGTGCGCTGTACGTCAAACTGAAGTTATGGGGTGTATTATGTGGGACAAAGGGTGTAAGAATACACCCTTTTTTTCTGAGAGTGCACGGAAGCTCAATTCGGGACTCGCCTCTCTGCTGCAGCCTCTCCAGGAACTCGGCGTCTTCGACGGTGATGCAGGCCGACGGAATCCTCGCGGCGTTGTTTTCCCCGTACGTCATCCAACCCGTGTGGGGACTCCCGATGGAGAACGGGGTCACCGAGCGAACCAGGGCGGCCACGGCACCCGCCTGACGGGCTGCCGACGCCCCGTCCTCGCGGTACGCTACCGTGCTTGAGTAGCTGGTGTAGTCCTCGTTGAACACCACGATCTTGCCCCTGGCCTGTGCATGCCACAAACCCTCACGCTTGGACCACGGCGACTTAATGCTCACGCATCTGCCATCTATGTGGCTCTTCTCATGGTTCAGAGCTTCCTTTCTCACCTCGTTTCCCTCCCTAAGCAGCACAGATTTGGCCAATCATTGGCCAATGGCTGGCAATGGTCCTTCGGCCATTGATTTCCCTACACACCCGCTAGGGGGGTGTACAGCCCTCCCTGTTTTTCTGAAGGCGCCCCCTTCATTCGCAACGACTCCTCTTAGAAGAGTCATTGCGAGCTTAGTTCTTTCGTTTTGCACTGCTGATCGTATTTGGAGCTGCGAGACAGCTTTTTCTTCATTAATATTATGCAACGAATAGACAGCAAAACTCCTGACGTGGTATAGTATATTATTAACTGCAAGCTCTGAAATATTCAAAATGTGGGGGGAAACAAAACATTCCATGAAGGAGAGATTCGATGACCACAAAACGGATAATCTAAATTAAAAAAAAAAAAACACGTTGCTAAACACTTTAGCTCGGAGTACCATAACATCAATGCGCATCTAAAAAATTACCATCGTGGAAAAGAAAAACTAATTTCGAAAATGATATCACACGTAAAAATAAAGGGTCATACTACATATCGCAATCAAACACTGCGCTCGCACTTACGATAAGAGAGAACTGTGGTGGTCTAGACCACCATATGATTGAGCCCCGAGTGTATAGCCTACGGGCTCGTGAATTCAGAATTGATCGGATTCCTATGCATGATATCACCCTCAGTGTTGGCTACTTTAAAACGTGACACAGAGGACAACCGTCCCAATCCTGCCGTCGGAAGTACTATTTGCCAGCATATCTTTAGAGGTCCGGTAATCTCAAACTCTCCTTTTTAAGAATAACCAACTCTGTGGTGAGTTTATAAACATCATAAAAGCGATGGCAAAAAAAATATTTGAATTCTTTTTCATTGTTTTGAATTTATGATTTAATGTCAACACACACTAAAATAATGCACTTAAATTTTGTCGTAAGCTCATCACATGTTTTTTACGCGGTACTCGTTCAAATTATATGGTCGTAAAAAAGGTAGTAGAAAAAACAAATTCCATTTTTCGTGCGCAAGGCGTTTTTGAATTTTTTTTCTTTTTTTTTTTAAACTTCGGCCGTTAACAATAAACCACTTTTAGTATTATGTTTGACGAAACAATTCTAAAATTTTTGAAGAAAAAAAATTAGGTACGGTTGTAGCACGGCCAAAGCAGAACGGCCGCAGTCAATCCGGCGCGGCCATTTTCATAGCCGTTCCGCGGAGGGAATTTCTCTGCCGTTTTTCGCGGTTACATACAACGCCGGCTCTGCTCCATGAGACAGTGAACTTGCTTTCGCGTTAAAATAAAATTGGGCTCAGAAAAACGCGTGCTGACCATGGGATCGAGGCTTCAAAAGCATAATATTACAGAAACATACACTTCAGATCGGTTGGAAGGTAATTACATTTCTTCTAACTCGCACAATTCTCAATACGATACTCTAAAACCTCCACACACGGCAGAAAATCAAAACTTTTGGTCATCAAAGTTCGCGAATTCGTGCTTTTGGCATTTAAAAAAAAAAAAAAAACGGTATAAATATCGAACGTGAGTTTAAATGCTGTCTTACTAGATCATTGAGGTTCTAGGGCTAATACTTTGGGATGAAGCGAGTGATATGTCGCAGACGATGTTTGTCGAAATCCCACCGTTTTTCCTCCGCTCCGTTGGGTCTTTATTTCTTCCAAATGTGCAGTAAAGTAATACGGTAATTTCAGCGAGTTTAATCCCATATTCTGGCTTTTTTAGGTCAGAGAAAAGAGCATTGTATATAAATTAATTCTTCCCGTTGAGCAACCCGCAAACGGGATATTCCAAGACTTTTGTTTATCTACTTTCTAGTGCATTAGTGGCGGTGACGTCAGAACGACGCCGAATTCTCATTGGCTGATTGAAAAAAAAAAAAATAGTGGGTGGACTTCAAGGCATCGAGCATTGACGTCTACCCACTATTTTTTTTTTTTTTTTTCAATCAGCCAATCCGAGCTCGGCGTCGTTCTGACGTCACCGCCACCAGATGATTTGCTCTCCGCATAGCGAACGGAGGTATGCGGTGTAGAGAAGCTCGTTTTAGCGAACGCCGTTTTACCGACCCCACTTTATCGAATGCCTTTATAGAGAACCCAGTTTGTAGAAAATGGCGATGAGCCTCCATTTACCGAATTCGGCCGCCGTGAAGTCAGGTGAGTTAACATTCTTGTAATGAGCCGCCGCAGACTGCCGCCGCGAAGCGGCGGAGCGCAGCGGGGGGCCTGGATTAACACGCGCACCAGTGATACACGCGAGAAGTAGGAAAGCCTTTTTTTTTAAAAGCGTCCCCTTTTCGATAAACGACGTTTCTCTAAACTCAGGCTCTGCTTTCTCTAAACCGTGCTTCGATGAAACGTGCCCGTTCTCTAAAACGTGCTTCGATGAAGTGGCATTCGATCAACCGTAGTAAACCCCATAGAGAAGACCCAGTATGGCGTCTACTTTTTTACAGCGGAGCTGGTAAGGGCTAGTTTCCCCAGGCTCGTATATATATCTCCCCGCAAAGAAGTGAAGACACCGAACTCTGGACACGTACCGCCATGTATGAGCGACGGCGGCAAGCCACGTATCTGTTTGCCGACGTCGCTCATAGATGGCGGCAGCCTTTCCACTCTGGCTTGCCGACTCGCGGCCGGCCATTACTTTCCACTGTACAGCTCCGCTGGTCTTCCTTCTTCAGCAGAGTGGAAAGGCTGAAAGCTTTTCCAGCTAAAGCAGACTTCTTTTGAGACAAAGAGGGAAAGACCACCTAATGGGCTTTGGCCCGAAGCTAAAGCAGACTTTTTCGAAACGAAGTGGGAAAGACCACCTCATGGCAAAGAGTGAAAGACCACACCTGACGGGCTTTGGCCCTAAGCTCGTCGAAGGACTTGACGACCAGGACGGGAGCCATGATGCCTTCCGGCGGCGTTCCGACGCTGCCTCCGAGTCCCAGGATGCTGAGCCTCTGGAGCCGGGGCTTGAGCAACCATGCCGACTCATTGCCCCTAACCCAGTGGGGTACTTCGGCGTCCTCCGTGTATACGGCGTCCAGTCCTCTCCTTCCAAGCAACGCCACCATGTAATCGATGGCGTTCTCCAGGTTCCTGGATCCCGCCATCCTGGCACCGAACCTGTCCACAAAGTTGGCCAGTTCCTCGTAGGTCTGATTCTGTTCCGGCCCCTGCATCACTCGTTCGATGATGGCAGCGACCACCGGGCCGTAACCATGTATCTCCGCGACAAGTTTGTCCGATAGCTGGGTGCTGTTGTTGCACCAGGAGTAGGGAAGGTGGTCCGGGCCCGAGGACGCAGCAGCCTGGCGTATCAGCAGCACTCCAACGAGCAGCGAGAGGCCTTGCAGAGCGTTCATGGCGAAGGACAAGAAAGCAACTCCGGTCTTAGCGGGGGGGCTCTGGTAATGCAAGCAGGCACTCGACAAGGGAGCCCCGACTTCGGCCTTGCGGGGGTGGAGGAGGGGGGGGGGGGGGGGGGGGGCTGTGGTAATGCTAGCGGGCAACTTTGTTGACTCGAACTACTTGCCTATCTCTGCTTGCTTTGAGCTGAGTCGGAGGGAGCTACGACAGGTGAGAGCGCAGGATCGGCTTTCGGCTGATAATTCTTCTGGCAGCTACGATACGAGACTTGTGCAAGCAAGTGTCTGGCAAGAAAATGCTACGAGCAATGCTGTTTTTCTTCTTTTCTAACGCTCTGGAGGAATATCCTCTTTCATTCGCTGCATGCTCGGGTACATTACGTATCCTCGCAAGTGTCGTGTTACAGGGGCTGCTCGAATATCTTGTGGAGGGTTCGTGGACGCTTTTTTTTGGGGAATACCTACACGATTCAGTTCAATTTCACTGAGCGATCTGTCACCTTTTCTACAGGATTTCTTTTTTCTACAGATTCGTTTTAAAAATTTTGTGAAAGCTACACTTATATGGTTTGTGCAGGTGAATTGTACGGCCAGGGAGACTTAATACACTCTAAAAAAGGAGTGTCACCTTACAGCCTTTGTCCCATATAATGCACCCCAAAGCTTCAGTTCGACATACAGCGTACTATAGTAGAACAGACGGCCCCAAATTTTACGAGGGCCTTGATAACGGTGCGATATAACTTCTTAAACAGTTAAAGTACGTATCAAACACCACAGAAAGGAGACACTGAGGTTTTGAAGTAAACCGTTTTTTTTTTTTCTTAGTAACACGTACATTAGCTATTTTAATAAGTTGTACCACACGACTATCAAGCCTGTCGTGAAAGGTGGTACCGTCAGATCGATGTCAGTGCGTTGTACGTCGAACTGAAGTTTTGGGGTGTATTATACGGGACAGAGGGTGTAAGAATACATTCTTTTTTTTTTTTTTGGGGGGGGGGGTATTTACGGGACAAAGTTTTGGGGTGTATTATACGAGACAAAGGGTGTAATAATACACCCTTTTTCTTAGATGTATAGGGGTCTCTAGTCGTGACGATGAGACAAATAATTACCTAGAAGTTGTTAATGAACATTTTAACGAACGAAAAGGAAACAATATAGTTCCAACTCGAAATTTTTCTGAGCTTCATCGAAAACCACTACTTCACGAACATTTTTAGAAACACTTGGAACGTGTGTGTGAAGTGGCCCGGTGCGCGGTGCGCTCAAGTTCTCACTCGGGAGCACAACAACGAAGTTGCGGAAACGTGAAGACGGAAAGACAGAAAATCCGCGCCTTTTCCCACCTCCAGACTATACTTGAACGCACCACCGCGCTTTCCAAGCTCTCCAAGTGACTGCAAAAATCATTTAGTGGTTTCTCAGATTTCTCATTATTTCTCAGATTTTCGGTTTCTTTTTTTTTTTTTTTTTTCAAACTCACGCATGGGAAACTTCATGCAAGGAAAAATGAGAAAATAAGGAAAGAATAAACAGTTGTTAGTCTGCGCCCATTTCATTGTTTCTCCTGATCTCAATGTAACTCGTTGTTTTCCTTTCACTTTCTAATCATGGGTTTATTCTGTGTAGCTATGTGCAACCAACTAGCCCAAACCCAAGTCCAAGCTTTATAATTCATCTAATGCTCTTTCTTTGAGCAGACCACAAACTGTTATGCATTTTACTTACTCTTTGGGAGGCACTCCAATCGAACGCGTGACTGTAATGAAAGATCTCGGTGTGTGCCTTGATAGCGCGTTGTCATTCAATGCTCACTGTTTCTTTCATTGTTGGCCGTCCGATGAAAACTCTTGATATTATATCTCGAATAACTCAAGCTCAGACGCCCTGCTTGCATGATACGTTTATTGTGTGCTTTAGTTCGTTCACGGCTTGAATTTGCCTCTGTGGTTTGGAATTCTCTAGCACGTACAGCGCTAATCACACTTGTCTATAACGCTCGAGCGGGCGGCTTTCTCCGGGGAGCGTTGGACTGGTGGAATTCGCGGAAACTAAGCTAGTCACGTGGCGCAACATGGAACGGCCCGATCGAGGGGTGTCCTGCCCACTCTATCAGCTTGATAAGCGATAAAAGTAAAGTGCTTCATGATATATATTTGTTTTTGATGACGACATTGTTGATACGCCTTGATACTCTAGTTTGTTTATTGTTCGAGCAATGATGTTTGTAAAAAACGTGCGAGCAGCCTTCCGCGTTCGCCGCCAGCTGATAGAGTGGGCAGGACGACGTCCCTCGAACGGGCCGTTCCATGTTGCGCCACGTGACTAGCTTACTTTCCGCGAATGCCACCAGTCTAGCGCTCCCCGGAGAAAGCAGCACGCTCGCGCGTTATAGACAAGTGTGATTAGCACTGTACATATATGTACGTGCTAGAGAATTCCAAACCACAGAGGCAAATTCAAAGTCTTTAAGCATTGAATCAGTGCAAAAAAGAATGATACGCATTTTATATGACAGACATTTTCAGCGTCGCTTTTATTATGATTATAGATTTTTTCTTAATAGCGTTTTACTTAGGTCTTCGTCAAATAAAAAATTCAAGCGTGATCTCATTTTTTTTTTTTTTTTTTTGCACAGGTTGGTCAATGGTTGGACTGATGCTAACCTACTTCTGAATTCTGTCGATTTCCATGTTCCTTGTCGCGTTACCAGAAATGTTCAACTGACTTTTACGTTCAATCCATGTCTATAAACTCTCACCACTGTCCCTTATGCAAATTTTATGAATAGAATCACATCCTCTCGCTTGGAGATTTTCACACATCTCCCAGTTTTCCGCCGCAACTTGGCAAGTCTAGCTGAAAGTTGAAACTGTATTACATTTTGTGTGCAGTGTGCAACCGTAGTCATGTGCTAATTTGTACATTGGAAGCTGTGCGTGTGTTGTGTTTCTTCTTTTTATCTTGTGTGCGCCAATGTTAAAACCGGCGTGGTTGTTTTGGGCACATTAAATAAACATTATTATTATTATTATTATTATTATTATTATTATTATTATTATAATGTGCAGGATGAGCATTGCTGAATTGCTCTGTTATGTCTGAATTTCGTCATCTCCATGTCGTGTTTTCTGGTGGTGCACTTGTTGTCCTTCGGTCTCGTGTTCCGTGTCTACTGCTACTGCCTCGTTTTTATTTCATTGAGCTAATTACTCGTGCACTGCCTAGTATTATGCTTAAAAATGTATCTTATTTTCTGCGGAGATGTGTATAGTGTTTTTTCTTATCCACCAGTGTACCAGCACCAAGACCTCAGGGTTGATCCTGGGCACTGTATAATAAAGATTCATTGATTGATTGATTGATTGATTGATTGATTATTATTAATGATAACGCTAATCTTTTCGAATATTTGCAACTACCCAACTTCCAAACCCTTTATGTTCATTCAGTGATATTGCGGTACTTTTGGAATTCTGATTTCAAAATCTTAAGCCCACCCTCACGTCATCTTCGACATACGCACCCTTTTCACCATACCTTTTTCCCGCACTCGTTATGGCGAAAGTACGCGTGCGTTTTATGTGCCATATATTTTTTCTCACTTACCACCTGAACTTCTAAACCAAACATCCTTGAGCAAAGTTAAAAAGATGCTTAGAGGTATTTCGTTTTAATAGCGAACTATTGGTGTCGTTTTAGTAGCGAACTATAGACTCATTTTGCTTAGTAATGTGTGCCACTTTTAAGCACCTGCCTTTCTGGAGCATTAATGAATATTCTGCTGTTTGTAGGACATTTTAACAGAAGACCTTCCGTGAATTTTTTTTTTTCGCATATTTTCCAGTCTTGTGGTATTTCATTTCCGTTTTAGTCTGTGCATAATATCTTTTCGCGTAAAATCTTCAAGTTATAACTAGAGTGACTAACTTCATGTAATTATGTTTACATTTCTCTTTTTTGTCTGTTTTATATTATTGTATTTTCCGTAACTACCCATGCTACATATCGTTTTTTGTTTGTTTGTTTTTTTATTGGAGGATGGCGTCGCACAAGCCACCTGTTGGCTTTGATGCATCCGCAATACCAAACCTTTCTTTGCTGGTAGCAATAAACAATTATTATTATTATTATTATTATTATTATTATTATTATTATCATTTAGTGGTTTTCGATGACGCTTGGCAAGTTTATAATTGGAATCACATCTTCACCAATTAAGAAAAAAATTAACTAATATCAGTTAATTAAACGACTTATCGGGACAATTATTCCACTATACAATATCTTCCCATGGCGCCGTATAACCAACCAGCACACATACCTTATTACACTTAATGAATCGACTTATCGGGACATAATTAAGAATTAAAACCTTAAGACAAAAAAAAACAAAAAGGAAAAAAAAACAGTCATAATTCTTAATTATGATTGTTCACCAGCTCGCCTGCGTTTTGACTATTACTTTAGTATTATCGGAACAATTATTAGTGTAGCTTGCACACACACACACACACACAAAAAAAGAACACTGTGTACATTCAGCGAGTCTCAAGAACAAGGGTAGTGTGCCTCAATCCCCCACCCCCGAAAAAAAAAAAGAAAAGAAAAGAAAAAATAAGTTTACAGCTTTTCTTTTTTTTACCGCAAAAATAAACCAGATTTTAAAGTTTGACTCGCAAGTTGATTGTATGTTTGTTTTTTTTTGCAATTTTCCAGTGGAAAAAAAAAAGGGGGGGGGGGGGGGGGGGGACCGAGCTCTGGAATACAGAGGGTGCCAGTTACCGAAAACGGACAAAAAAAACAACAAAAAAAAAAGAGTAGCCGGCGTTTTTATAGCATAGCAGCAGCCAATGTCTCCTTTTTTTTTTTTATTGATTTTGATCAGTTATTAAAACGAGGGCAAAAATGGACCCCATTTTCCCGTTTAAATTTTCAGACAATCACGTAACTTTTGAATAAGATAACGCGGGTAGTGCTGAAACTCTGTTTCGGATCGCCAGTTTGGTAAAAAAATAAGCGTTCGGCGAAATGTTTTTTCTTTTCTTTTTTTTTTTTTTTTTGC